AACCCCCCTATAGCGCAGGATCAGCCTGAATCCCGAACACCCTAAGCCCCAAACCCTGAAAACCCAGCACCCGAAACCGAGCAGCCCAAACCCTCAAACATGGGGCAAACCTTTGAAGCTCCAAGCGTGAACACCCCTACCCTCTGAAGCTCTGCACCCTAACCCCTCGAAAAGAACTCCTGACACTGACGCCCCGAAGGCCCCCACAAACCGAAACCCCAAAGGCTTAATACGCAATGCCGATTCTAACCTCCCGCTATTGTCAAGACTTCAACAGAAACCCGCAGCCTGAAAGCCAAGCATGGAATTCAAAAACTAACCCCCCTTCCCTTCAAAAAAAGCAACGGAACGGAACTCCGCAGCCCTGCCTCAGAACTTGCTCCGCCGATGCGGGACCAGTCGGGCCTTTGGCTCTTCTGAGTCTCTTCGGGATCGTAGCGTTTCCCCTGTTTTTGGAGGTGGGGGGCCTTCGGGTTTAGGGTTTAGGGTTTGGGGTTTAGGGTTTTAGGGTCTCAGTTGTTGGGTTAGGGCTGCATTCATGGGTTTTGGGTTTAGGGTCTGGGTAGCGTTTCGGGGCTTAAGGTCTTGCGCGAGGTGTCTCTTTTAGTTTATATGTCCCGCTTGGGGCTCAGGAGGTTGGGTTTGTGGGATTGGGCTTTGGGGGTTTGGGGACTTTCGGGTCTCAAAGGCTATATAAACCCTAAACCCGAAGCCAGGATCGATAAAGGCATCAGGGGCTCAACGCAGAAAGGCAGTACGCAGTCTGAGTAAATCCGAACTCTGTTTCAGAATTCGGCTTGGGAGAACAGCTGCTGTAGGGCTTTAAGCATCAGGATTCCTTCAGGCAGCCTTTAAACCCTGAGCCTGGACAAAAAAACAAACCGAACCCAAGGCCTCCTAACCCCTGTCATCCAGTATATGCCCTAAACCCTAAACCCAAAACCCTAAACCCTAAACCCTATGTCGTTGAGGCCACGGCTGCTTCTGAACCAGCTCCTTGAAATCCTCATGCAGGGGCTTCAGGGGCTCAGGGATCTGACAGTTCAAGCTCTGGGTTCCTCGGATGGTTCCTTAAAGCTTCATCCTTACAGGGCTCTGAGATGCTTGGGGTTTCATAAAGGTTTTTCTGAGCCTATAAGCATTTCCTTGATTATGGGTCTTGGGTTCACGGTTCTCGGGAGGTCAAAACTCTGACCACGAAGCCCGACGCCCTAAATGCATATAAGCCTCTTCATGGCAGAGGATTGATGTTTCTGGCGTGCAGGCGGCTGCATAGTTCAGGGCGTGACGGTGCTTCGAGCTGCAGATTGCCCAAGGCATGCTGCCTTGTTTCCGGGTGTAGACTCGACTCCATATAGAAGCCACTACACTTCGAACGCTTGGGACAACTGTGAGTTTCCGAAAAAAAGGGGACCCGGATATAGTACACTAAACAGTAGGACCCTTATTATAAGGACCCCAAAATAGGGTACCCCTAATTTTCGGAAACTCCCAACTAGAGCCTGCACGATAAACGCAAGGACGGCAAAGCTCACGCTTTCAAGTGTTTGCCATGCCCTCCTCCAGGCGCTTCGCCATGAAGGGGTAGGTTCCAGAGAGCATGAAGAAGAGCATGACCCCGGCGGACCTCGCTCTCCCTGAACCACTCCTCCAGAACCCAGTTAATCCCACACCCAAATCCCTAAATCTCTTCGATTCAAGGGCTGGCAAGGAGGTTTGAGGCTTTAGGCTTGGAGCTCTCGGTCGGATGGTTCTCGGGTTCCAAGCCCTTAAGTGGGCTAGGAATTTGAAGCTGAGGGTCGGGACATTGAAATCTAGGAAGTAGAGGTTTGGGTTCGAAGGGCTTTCGAAAGAAAAGGTGCGTGGGATCCTCGGGCTTCGGCTGCTTCGTTGGAAGCCTTGCGCGCCTTTTGTACCTTCCGGCAAGCTCCGTAACACCTCGCAGACCCCCCTACCCCGACCACCCCAACACACCCCTTGAAGGACGTCGAGGACAAGCCCCGCACCAAATGTCGCAGCTCTTGCTGAAATTTCCCGCCCACACCTGCAGCCGGTCTCCAAGGTTTGGGGTTTAGGTTCTGTTTCGTTTAGGTTCTTGTACTGGGTGGGGCTCTTCAGGAGCCCATGCTTGCCGCCGGGTTGAAATCTACTTTCTTTTGCAGTCATGACTCTGGGATGATAGAGCCTTCAACACGCCTTAACGCCGGAAACTTTAAACCCCGAAGCGCTAAACCAGCCTAAACCAATACACCCTGAACACCACAAAATACCCCAACATGAAGCCCCGCCCCACTCCCGGCTGACCTCCGGGGACATGAACGGCGGTGTGCCGGCGATCTCCGTGCCGCGACCCTCGGAGGAGAGCCTCGTGAGGTTCAGGGCTTTTAGGCTGGAGAGTTTCGAGCCCTAGACTGTAAATACTGGCTTCTGTTAAAGGTTGTTAAGGGCTCAATACTGGGAGTTCATACAGTTTCCAAGGGGGTTTTGGGGGACATCGTTACTTTACTAAGGTCCGTTGTGCATGGCCCAAAGAACTTGCAACTCTCATAACAAGGAGCTTTATGTAAAGCCACACGCAGGGAACCCAGCATGTCCTTTTTGGGGGTTTCGGCGTTGTGAATTTTGCTCGCCTGGACATCACGTACGCAGCTACGACTGAAAACCTGATGATCTTTCGTGGAGACTGCTGCGACCGACTGCTCAATGTTTAAAGTTTAGGGTTTGGAAAGAGACAGCAGCTACAGCTAGAAGCCCGAAGCGCATTGTTTGGGTTCACGGCTCGTGGAGTAAGGTTGCTGCCGGGTTGTAGATTTGCGGTGCGACGGACACCACATAAAGAGTACTCAGTCTTAAACTAGCACTCGAAGTATGGACCCTGGCCGCCAAAGATGGCCAACCTCTCCAAGCTACCGCAGATTCATATTTCGTGTATATATATATATACATACATACACACACACACGCATATGTACATATCTATACAAATTTTACAGGGAACTTGCTCAGCTCTTCAGACTGAGGTCTTAAAGCTTGCGACTGCGGTTGGTTCAGGCTTGGCCTCGGTTCAGAAACTCCTTGGGGTTCGTGTTTCGTTTCGGGTACAGATGTGGGCTTTGGGGCTAAAGTAACGATTAAAACTCCTCAGGTTCAAAGTGATATCTCTAGTGTTTTGCAGTCCCCGGCTCGCTGATGCACTCGCGCATTTTTTGGCCGCCAGCAGCACGCACGGTGAGACAGGTGGCAGCCGCAGGTCCTAAAGTGGAGTCATAAGCCCCTGCAAGCGTTGAACCCCGAAACTCTCATACTTTTTCAGATCCTGGGTTTTGGTGATGCAGACTCCTAGTTGATGTGCTCTCCATCGACCCAACGGTTAGACCAGGGTCCTGCGCTCTTGGGGAACCACAGGGACTACTCAAGGACTGAAAATTCTAGTGAACAGAGACCGTGGGCCCCCCTTGCAGTCCCCAGACAGTTGTAATTACTAGTATCTATCTATCTATCTATATATATATATAAACACATATAAACATGATCTTTTATATACACACACATATAACTTTCATGTATTATATCTTACCCAAAGCCTCCTCTACTTACCTGAAGTCCCTTTCTCAGGGTCCTTACAGAGCTCAGAGGCTGGAATCCGACCAGGGCAGGAGCACCACGTTGCCGGCAGCGCCGCCGGCACTGGGCTGCATCACCTACTAGGATATACTGTGATATGCTATCAGATGCTATTATATACTATACTATACTATATGTACTATAATGTGCTATGATATACTGCAAAAACAATGATATACTTTAGAAGGGGCCCCCACCCTGTAATAGTGGCATAATAGGAATATAATAGGGCCCTAATAATCCTTACAGTCACTGTTACAGGGCGGGGGCAGCTTCTATGATATACTGCAATATGGGGGTTTCCCAAACTAGTTTGGGGTCCTTCTGATAAGGATCCTACTATTTTACTCAGTATTTTAGGGTCCTGTATTAGGCTCCCCTGTTTTCGGAAACTCCCATATGCTATCAGATGCCTAACTTTACTATGTGTATAATGTGAGATAATGTGCTATGCAGTGCTACTTGTAATATACTATTAATGTGCTATGATATGCTGTAATGCACTTTACTATACTGTGATATATGCGGGGGATGAAACGTTTCCTGGTTTGGGGCTTGGGCGGCGAGAGTTCAGACGGCGCCGTTGGCATTCAGGCGTTGAAGTTTTGGTGCTTATGATTGCGGGTCTGCAGGTTAAGGTCTGTGCCCTTTGAAACAGGTGGGAAGCCAGGGCTGGTGTGAATTCAAGATCTTAACAACAACTGTTCCCTAGCACTTCTATGCAGAACAAGTTACGCTACCTCGTACCCCCCGAAATTCCAGAACTTTACAAAGCCTTACCAAACTCAGATCCAACGCCCAACGCCGTATAGAATCTGCTAAGAAAACTATACATCCTCCAAGCTGGAGGTCCTGGCGCCTCTGTGTGAGCCGTCCCGGCATCGCTGAGGGGAAGCTGCATGCTGACCACCGGGGCCTAGGTGAAATCCAGTTTTGGAAGTGGGCTTGAAGGGTCGGCGTCTACACTCTGAGTTTGAGATGTTGGCTTCGGGCCAACTTGAGCTTCTTGTGTAAGACGCACGAACGCAGAGGATTTGACCTAGCATACTTCCTCCGTGGCTGTGCATTCTTCGGTGGCCTCAGGTTCTCCCGTGAAATCTCGTCCACCATTTTACTTGACAAAATCGCAGGGCCGTGCGAACTGGGGCACCGACATCCCAGCAGGCCTTGAAGAGCCCAACAGCACCTGGAGCTCGTTGCAGTGAGCAACTTCCTAGCAAGTAGACTACTAAGTAGACAAGCTTGGAGGTGGACCGACATTTCAGATGCCACTCTTTTGCAGCTCGAGCTCTTGTCTGTGGTATTAGTGAAGGGCAGGCCGAGGGTCCCAAGCGGACATCCTCGATTCCCTCCAGTCCCATTTCATGGAACCAACATCAGAGCATCTGCAGATTATGCGGCTGTAAACTTAAATGCTTCAGCTGGCCCTGGTAGAGGAGCGCCACTTGGAGCCGGTCCGACCCCGTCACTTCCCCAACCTCCCCCTCGCGGCCGTTGTACTGAGGGGCGGAGGACAGGCCTTGGATGCGGACGCGCTGGCCCGCCCGGAACCTTGCGGCGACGGGGTGGGTGCTGGCGCCTGTGGTCTCTGGGGCGCTGCTTGAGGCACCGCCTGAGCCTGAGGATGTGGTGGATCCTGGCGGAGGGAATCCCATCGCATCGTCGTAAGCCTTGCGCTTTTTGGGGTCCGAGAGGCATTCATGAGCCTCCACCACTGTCTGGAACCATAGGGTGGCTGCGCGCTGCACAGACTCGGACTTCCCCTTCTTGTCTGGATGGCACTCCTTGGACAGGAACAGGTAAGCCTTGCGGATGTCGTCTTGGGGGCATCCCGGCTTCAGGCCCAAGACCTCGTAATGGTTCCGCTGTTGGGACTCCGAGGCCGGAGGCCGAGGCTTGAAGTTCTTCAACATGAGACTCACGGAACGAACTGTCGCGCGCGCAGACTCGATCTGGTTTGTCAAGCGCCGCAGCAAATCCGTCAGCAACCGCAAATCATCGGCGCTGAATGGAGCATCTGAGTCCCACCTGCGCTGTATCTGATCTTGAATTTTCCAAATTTCCTCGTCAGCTCGCAGGTGTTCCCCCAACAGCGGTGCCACACCACTTTCGGCAATGTGACGACCACTCATGTCGAGGACTGTTCTCCGCATCGTATCCCGCTCAGAGCGATATTTCTTATGTGCAGCATCCGCTTCTGTCAGCATCTCCTTCCCGATGTCCCAAGCTTCTCGGCTAGGCTGGTTCGCATTATTGGCGGGGTCTCCTCCACCCCCGCGACACGCATATTTCAAGCAGCCCCGCAGGACAGTCACAGTAAGGATAGAAAGGCCGACACTGACATAGAAAATGGGATCGGAGAGGAAGCCCGGCAATGACGGTGGCGGCGACGGCGGCGGCGACGGTGGTAGCGGCTCATAACAACGGGCCTCCGTATCCAAGCATTGCAATTGTAGCCCTGTGCACGTCGTTTGAGCATCCAAGCACATTTGGTGAAAGTCACAGAACAACTCGTTGTTGCAACAGTTCAGCTGTGAGAAAACGGAGTCACAGGTGCACGATGCAAGAGGAGGGCAGTCGGAGCTCCGAGTCCTCAGACCGCTGCTTTGCCTGCTGCAGGGAAGCTCTCAGAAAGGATTTTGGGTTTAGGCGTTCAGGTAACGGTGGGGGCTTTTTTAGCAGACGTCGCCTTGCAAAACTGCCCTGAAGCCCACGCCAGTCGCTCACGTTGGGTGCGGTGGGTTGCGTGTACAGCTCGAAGTTAAGCAACGTGCTGAGGGAGGCTGCGAACGCCCAGCGGGACTCGAACATGGCGATCAGACCGGGGCACCCGGCGTCAGAGGACAAGGCTGCTATTTTGAACTTTCTGAGCAAAACTGACCAAAGGGCGACTGCTGTCTGTCTGGCACCTAGCTTTTTCTCTCGGCCAGCCTTCTTGAGGTGTTCTTCCACATCAGCTTCAGGTGGTAGCCGGTCCCGCAAATCTTCCTAGCAGCTCAAGGACAACTCCAACTGACACTCCATCACTCCGATCCTCAGCCGAAGCCTGCGATGGCAACCGCGCCCAGACTGTTTGAGGATCCGTGCCACGCACCAAACTGGAAACCATCATGAGCACAATGGCCGCAAGGAGCGCCTTCGAACGAAAATGCGGACGGGTCCTCAATATCCAACACCCTCGGCTTAAGTCTTTCCACCCATGACACACGCTCCGCGCTGATGGTTCTCCACATGGAGAAGTCTGAAGAAAGAAGCAGCTGCAACGATCCCTTCATGCCACAGTTGCACGAATACGCAAAGGAGCCAAGCCTTAGCCGCTGAAGACGAGTCATCAGCCCGACGTCGGACGCACAGACTTCGTCTTTTTGGCGATTTGACGTTCACGGCAGATGAGGGCCTGGAGCAGCTCGAACAAGTGGAAGCTGAGAGCCACCAGCCTCAGCCACAAAAAGGAAGCAGTTCCAAGCACCTCAATCCTCTTGCAGACAGAGCAACCGAAAGGAAGCCAATGGGTGCCCCGCTGCACAGCGCTCCTTGAGAGTCATCAAGGCATCAGCACCCAAGTGAGCTTCCGCCTGCAGAAGCTGCATCTTCTAGTTCTTGGGCGGATCCCGGAGACGTGTCACCAGCCTCCAAACGACAAAGGCTTTTCCTGCAGTCGTTATGATCGTGCGGATTCTTAGATCTTGCAAATGGTCCCTATCCGGTAGCGAGACCGATGTGCATCTATCAAGGCTGTTCATGTCAAGCAGAGCACCCATGCATGCTTGTCTTCTGTCGCATGTGCTGCTTCTAGAAGGCCGCACTCAGTACACTGACACGTGCTAGCGCAGTGAAAGCTTCATCGCTGTAGCAGCTACAGATATTCTGTTTCTGGCATTGAAATCGTTGTCCCCATCCGAAACACCCAACACGAGCCACAGGTTGTTTACATAGCAACATGAGGATTCCCAACCAACTGAGTCGAAAGATATCCTCTTACCCTGTTCATCCGATTTGAACGGGAATCACGGCCGACAAGCCAACGAGCAAATATCTCAGCGACGCTCTTGCACCCGCAAAACGGGAGGGGCTGTGAGGTTTGTCCGAAATTCGGATGCTCGTGATCCTGTCTGAGCACGACTTCCTACCGCATGTTGTCAATGCGTCACAAGGCTGCACCATAAGATTGTCCTGACACAGGGCTTCGACCTTGCTGACTTCTTGTCCGCTGCCGCCATGTTCTGGCACTATCGCAAATTTGTTGGGCTTTGCTTGGTGGCTTGAATACTTCGAATTCTTGCGATCCCTGGAGTCGTTCGTCTTTTCTGCTGTGGGCGCCTCACAGCTTCACCGCATTTTAGGAAAAAAACCCCCGTCTGGCAGACTATGCCTGTGGAAGATTCAATTCGGCAGAGTGGTAGCAAAGAGCCGAATATGAATTTGCCAGCCGCCTGTTGTTATTGTGGACTTAACGCCTGCCCAGTTCCACATCCCATAAGTTTCGTGCATGCCGGGCATCTCAAGCGTTTCGGCTCCTTGGTTGCGTGCCATGGACCGGTTCACCACTCATGAACGATTCTGGGCAGTTCAAAGAAACGTGATGTTCTCCGAAATGAACGAGTTGCATTTCACCCAAGATGCCGTGGCTATGTTGCCGCCACTGAACTGGATAGTGCTCTCGAGTTTCAGCTGCGGAAACGAATTCTGGAGAAGCTGCCGGCTGCTCTAGTTCGCGCTTTTCTTTTTGTCCTTGGTTAAGTCGTCTGGGCTTCTCGCAGAAAATGGCTGAAGCCCAACTCGTTTTGAAGCGTGGCCTCTGCAGACTAGAGGACCAAAACGGGCCCGCTCTGTTCCGCGAGGACTTATTCCACCCAACTGTTGTAAAGAGGGCTGTGAATAATGACAAGTAAAAGCTCTTCTCCGCGAAACCCCCAAAACCGAAAGCCACCAGCCCCACAGCTGATCCCAAAGCCGAAAAGCACTACATAGTCACAGCCAGTCCTTCCCTGAAGCTTTCGGCGCAGCGAGATGCCAGGTTTCCGCCGGCCATGAGGTCATAAAGCGATCGGTGAATCTCCTCGGAGATTTGGCTTGTTGGCAATACTCCCTCGACGGGCCCTAGACCCTTTATAGCCCAAATATGCCTAAATCCTCAAAACGCCGCGTCCCCACCCCTATAACACTCATTCACCCCAAACCTTTAAACCTCGAAAACACGCCTTCGAGCCAACATGCGGCACTCAAAAGCTCTTAATCAACGCCAAGGGTCCGCGTGCTCATCGGGCGTTGCAGATCCCAAGAACACGCCCCGAATGTCAATCTCACTGGGCCTCAGCATATTCGAAACAATTCTTCGAGGGCCTTTGCATGGTCAAAGTTCGTCCTGCCTTGCTCAGTGTGGGGTTCGAGGTCTGGGCTGAGTGTCAATCTTGTCATTGAGGGTAGTATTCTTCGGAGGCGTAGAATCTGCAGGGCTTGCACGGCTGTGTTGTATACGTAAAAGGGAGCGAAGAGCTCTCTGCTTTGCTTGCGGTACAGAGCTCAAGGCTTTCCAAGAGTCAAGGGCCTAGCCCCGAGGTGTTTAAGGGACGTTTTCAGGATTCGGCGCGACCCAGGTTCGGGGTTGCAGGATGCACTGTGTAGGGCCACCCTGCCCTTATCGGCCGTGAGTATATGGAGAGGACACAGCACATGATGATCCTCAGAGACGTGCGGGTTCTCTTGCGGGGGCGACCTTAAACCATGAACCTGAAGCCGAAACCCCAAACCTGGCCCGCCTGGCCCTGATACGCACGAAACGCAGCAGAGTCCGCAGAACTCCCTTTTTCCTGGGCTCCAGGCATCAGGGTGCGCGGGTTGATGCTCGTGGCTTCAGCTCTGGATCCAACGATGCCTTGCGGATGTCGGCCGGAGGTTTCGGGATTCCGAGCTCAAAAGACAGAGGAGCATCAACTTCTACAGGGCTACATCCTCCCGAGACCCCTGAGCTGCGAGTCTTAAGAGAATGGAGGACAATGGCCTCAAAGCCCAAGGGTCGGGCTGCTTCGGCTCTATTCCATGGCAAGGGTCCAAGGCATCCAGGTTCGAGGAATTTAGAGGCTTTTGAAGCAAGGCTCGGCAAGTCTCGGGCTGTTGGTTCACAGAAGGTGCGCCGGTAGTTTCAGCAAATATCCTTCGGTTCAGGATCAGAGTTTCAGGAAGTTTCAGGCCGTTAACAGCACTACCTTGATGACACGTTACTTGTTGTTCTGTTAATCTGTCCGACACATGGCGTATGTCTAGCGAAGAGTTGTAGAACAAACGACGAGCCTCCCAGGCATTGAGTGCATCGACCAAGAACCCGACAAGAAAACGCCGACGCACATGATGAAAGCCAAAGCCCTGAGCCATCGAGGCCGGGGAGCAAATGCAAGACCGTCGGCCGGCAAGCGATAGATCCGCAGAGAGATTGGCGTGCGCCGCCATCTCCTTGAGCGGATCATTGATGTGCCATTTTTTGACGGCTCGGGGCGGATCTTCCTACCTTCAAACATGTTTCTTTGAGGGCTCGGAGATACGGATCTTGAAGTCCTAACTCCCTGCCAGCCCGAAGCCTAAAGCTGCAAGCCCACACCCGAAGCCCGCATTCCCGAAACTTCAAGGTTTCGTCTCGAGCTCGATCTAAGTTATGATAGACTCGGAAACGTGCAGCAATTAATCCGCATTTCGGTCATGAATCGAGGACGACATCGTAGCCACCGGGTTGGATCTCCTTGCACTTCTCCAAGTATCCGCTTTCGCCTAGGTTTGGGCTTTAGGCTTTGGGCCTTGGGGGTTTCCAGTTCAGGTTCCGAGTGCACGGGCTTTCGAACCAGATAGAGAAGTTAAGCTCCTACTGCTTACATAGGCTTTTGGGGTGTGGGCTTATTGAAATCGTCTGAAATCCCATCCAGGATTCCATTGGAGTCCTTCAGTCGATGCTACGGCTACAGACTTTCCGGCTGCAAGGCTAAGCACCCGAACCACCCCCAAGCCTCAACCCTCTCACTATCTCTCGCTCTAATCCTGCTCAGAAGCCGTAGCCCTGAACGCCAAATTGCAAGTTGGGCAGCTTTGTTCTAACAGGGCTTGCAAAAATAGTTGGGCAGGGATGCCTTCATGCTATCCTTCATTGCGGGTACCCCCACAAAACCAGGGTTTACCTTCCCATGAGCGTCTTACGGCGGGGAATCTTCTTTTATGAAGGATCGACCGACTAGCTATTTACAGTCTAGATTTGGGGCCTCGTTGTCTGCAGCTCCCGTATGTCGCATAATTACATCAATCTCAAACATCCTTAGCAACCGAACACCCCACACCGCGCGACCCGAAATGCTAGACCCTTAGAACTGAACCCCGAAGCTGGGCACTCTACATACGACTCCAAACGCTGCACCTCTTACGAAGTCCAGGCCGCGATGGTTCACAGCGGCATCAGCCCCGGCCGCGCTCACCGCAGCCAGGCCAGGGGCTGTCCCGGCGCTGCCAACGACCCGGCAGCCGAAGGACTTCCTAAGAGGGCTCTGAAAGGGTCCAGCATAGTCCTGGGTTTAGGAATTATAATGATAGGGTCTACAGTCTGAAGTCATCGAAAGAGCAGGAGCAGACCGGAGGCTCAAAATGCGGACCACATAAAAGCACCACATTGCGGCGCGGGGTTGCGCGGAAGTAGGTATCTCGGACTCTGACGCCGAGCCGCAGCCCAAAATACAAGCGGAACGTTGGCGGGAGCCCGATGCCGACAACTTGCGGATGTTCCAACACTCAGATGGCCCAGGCCTGCGAGGCCGCATCGAACCCCCCCCCGAAGGAGCCGAATAGTGTGGTCCTGCTACTTCCCAAGAGACTTTGAGCGATTTAAAGGCGATAATTGCCGAGACGGTGTCGGGAGCACGTGAGCACGATTGAGACCGTGGCGAGAACGCGATTCTGGTCGAAAATGCGCACCGCCCAGGAGGAGCTGGCGGGCGTGCCTCGCACCTTCAGCAACCTAACCAGTTTACGCTAAACACCAGAGCTACATAGCGCTTGGGGAACAGGTTCTGCTCCTTGTAGCAGCAGGAGAAAATAGAAATTAGGAGCCACTCTCAAGAACTGCCTCGCTTAGAGTTTACATTAATCATGTTCTATGGTGGTTCGGGCTTAGGGCCAGGGAGGCTAGGATTTTCGAGATTTCAGGGAAGGTTGAGGGTCTTGAACGGTGTGCAAGACGTTAAGTTCAACGGGAGGATTTGGAGGTTAGGTTCTTAAAGGGTATTCAACTCCTGGGAATTGAAGGGCAGGGCTTTCTTTGAAGTTCCGTGTGGCTTCTTTTCTGTGGTCGTTGTAAGGGGACGTTGGGTGCTGAGGGTGTGCAATCTGTATATCGCAATGAAAAAACAATCCTTGTAACACCCCTACAAAAAGCCCGCACGTCCCAACAACATCCTGTGCCAGGCGTCGCGATTTGCACAGCTGCCAGACCCACCGCACCGGAAGCTCCGTGAATGAAGACGCTTTGGCCTTCAGCTACCTGCGCTTCATAAGAACAATTAGTGGCCAATGCATATGAGAAGAATAAGAGTCCTCGGTTGTGAGCTTTACAGGTTGCCGGACGGCATGAGCTTGAGGCTTCCGAGCCAGTTGAATAATGAAATCTGCAGGTCATTACCTGATTTCTCCATTTTTTGGGGGGTCGCCTTCGCCCGACACCTGAGCGCATAGTAGGCGGTGGCGCAAGGGACGCCAACGCAGGCGCCGTGAGCAAAGGAGACTCGGTCCTCGACTCGCCGGCTGAAGAGCTTGGCTCTGGAAAGTGCAAGGGACTAAAGAGCCGACTGAAGAGAACCTGCACCCCAAGAACCTCAATTCAACTCTCTCTATATATATATATACACATATATATACACATATATATATATATATATATATATACATATATATATATATATACACCGCAAAGCATAAGCCGTTGACCGTGCCGAGCATCTGGGAGAGGGTGTACCCCTCCAGCATCGCATAGCATGTGTGTAGCACACGTCCCCGTGCCTGTGCCGCAAACGTACCTCGAGAGTGCAGAGGTGTCACGGGTATGCTAGACTTTGACACTTCCAGCGTCGTATGTGGGAAGCTACTCTGCAATGCCTATGCTTCACGGCCATCTTGCATGTACCCTGGTGGCAGGTCCAATGGGCTGCACGGACTAAACGTATGAGAAGATATGACTTTGATTCCTCATGGCTCTTGAACCAAACCCCTATAACTTCTACAGACCGCTGTGCCGGAGTTCGAGCTTCAAAGGCTTTGGAGATCTCTGTTGAACGGCCTTCGGATTGGAGCGTTGCCATACCTTTGTACTTTTCTAGTGTTACTATGTTATCATCATGGGTGTGACTACGTTTCGTACGATTCTTACTATTTTGATGATCATGCGTAAACTTGCAAGCACTTTTCGACTTACTGATCCACGTGTGCTACCGACTGTTAACTTAGGGTCGGATCAAGCTGCACACGCTGCCCAACGCGGACGTTCCCCACATCGGGGGCGACCTCCTTGCCGATGAAAGTACAACTAAAGAGCCCCTTCCTTACTACTTCACTTGGGAGTATACCTATCTCTGAAGAAGCACGCCGTAGTTCAAGACAAAGCCTCAAGTAAAGGGCGTGACAAAGCCACAAGGTTTGAAGGTTTTAGAAGGATGTGGCTTGTCCAGCGATAGTTTTGGGTTGAGGGCTAGGGGTCGGGATATCGGATTAAAGATCTTTACGGTTTAGCCCCCGGGCTGAGGATTGAGGCTTTTCTGGGTTTAATCTCCTGTATGTTGAATAGTGAATAGTGGCGGTGAGCACTATCGGTTCAGGTTTGGTTATTGCAACAGCTTCGTATCCTGAACCCTGCACCCCAGCCTTTAACATTTCCCTCAGTAGACCTGGCAGGAGTCGCGGGCTCCTCCACTATCCCAGCGCCGTCGCGGCCTGTGTCAGCACGCCATCCCGGCTTTCTATTCACGCTGAGTTGATGGGCATTCGGGGCCTTTCGGAGATATGAACATCTGGGCTCCTTTTCTTAGATCATCTCGAGGATCTCGTCTTAGTGGACAAATGCTCAAGGTCCGACTTACCTCTCCGAAACCCACTTAACCCCAAGCCCTGAAGACGCACGTAAAAAAAACAAAAAAACTGAAGCCAAAGCTGAAAGCGAGCACCCTGAACCCATACACCCCGAAACCCTTTGCCCGAAACGAAGAAAGCCAATCCCAAACAGAACCCTGCGATGTTCAACTAGAATGTCTTCCTTCAGCCGTTATGGGGCAACTTGGGCTCTCCGGGCTGCCCATGGCGCCTGGTGTCCACGGCAGGGTCCTTGGGACACGCGGGGCCAGCCGTTGCAGCATATCGACTACCAGGCTCCAAGAACCGAACTCAGAGACCACCTCCACTCCAAAGCGAGATTCAGGAATGCACAATTCAATATCTTTGTGTTTGGGGAGGGAGGAAGAGGGGCGGCAGTAGTTTCAAAAGCCGAAGCCTAAGTACCATAGCCGCAAAATTGGTTGCCGGAGCAAGATCAGCCGACGTTGTCGTCGTCGCCGTGGCATCCGAACAAGGCCAGAACCGGCAACCCGAAACCCCCATGGAACACAGGCGCTCTGAAAGTTTTACAGTCGCTGCGCAACATAACAGTCGCCCCTGCGAGCCTGATTACGACTGAGCGGCGGCAGCAGATGAGGCACCGCCGCATAGGGACCAGATGGGCCCAGGCGGAGGTAGGTGTCCGAGGGGTTTACCCCCGAAGCCTCCACCTGCAGAAGTCGTCGGATCTCGTATGTAGAGGGGCTTCCCGTGCAAATACAAGATTACTCTTGGTGCCCGAACGATTAGAAGAGGCTTCAAGCGTCAGGCATAGATGGTTCCGAGGCTTCATGTAGATCCTCCTTGTTCCAGACAGCATTGAACCCGCAAGCCGCTGGTTCTTTAGAGCTGTTTCTCCATCGCTCTCTAAATCCTCAACCCTCAAGCTCGCTACACCCTCAATCCCAACCCCGAAACCAACGGCACAAGAGTTCAAAGGGTGCAAAGCCTCGCTTTTAAAACTAAAGATACCAGGTCCCGCCACTGGAGGGCAAAACCACTGTACACAACAGAACACCTAGATGAGACTTGCAAGGCGGCAAACCATCCAGCTTAAGCTTAAGTATTTGCTTCACTTCAACCCCGATGCTGACCACTTAGGCTCCCAAAAACCTTCAATCCCCAAAGCGCAGCCCGAGCCCCGATGCCCCGATGCCTTGACCCTGACTTGGCCAGCACCGATGGCCGGCAGCTCCTTGGTGGAGAGCGACAACACCTCCGCAGGTCTCTCACGCAAAGTGGGTCTTAGGAGTCCTAGGGTTTGGGATGGTTTGGGGCTTCAGGGTCAGCTACGTGTTCGGGGCTGGGGCAAGCTTCGGTGCTTGGGCTCTGGGGCAAGTCTGGGGCTTTGGGGCTCATGGCTTCAGCGGACACCTTTCATCCGCAGTCCTAGTCCATCCCAGACTAAGATCCGAACCTCCAAGCTCTAATCCCCGAACCCCTCAACCCTAAAGGCCCGAAATCCTGAACCCACCAGGCCGAAGCCCCAAGAGAGATCCTAGACATGCGCCTCCGGTCCACCAAACCTCTCCACCACGATGGCCTGGGCAAAGGACGCAGGGTGTCTGGCGTAGTGGCCTTAACCACTAAATGTTCATGGAGTTTGGGCGTATGAAGCTTCGATGAGGACGGCAGGGGCTAATTACACAGACCTGTGTGTTCAGGCCAAAAAGGGTTTATGGAGCTCGGAGTCCTTTATGAAGAGGTCTTGAATAGACGCACTTGCCTCAATCTGCCTCAACCTAGACCTACACGGTTGTTGTTTTGAACCTAAGCCATTAAGGGTCGAGTTCGTGGGGATTTAGGACTGGACATTTAGGCGCTTCACGTTTTCAGCTCCAAGGTTTCGGGCTTCAACTTAGTCGCTGAGCTCACAAGCCCCAAGAAGTGTACACTTTCAGTTTTACAGTGGGTTAATAGTATGCCAAAAAGTGCAAAGTGTATCCCCTCAGCTACTAAGTCAAGGCTCTAAGGATTAGGCTTCAGTAGGACGGTAAGGGCACACACGGCAGCAAGAGCAGACGGCGCAAAGAGATCCGGGAGGTATGGATTGCAGCAACTGCCACTTAAAACCAACGATCAGAACCTAGAGTCTGGTTTTCGGACCTCCTTTCACAGTCTCGGGCCTTTTGGGCTTGGATTGCAGTTCTTACGGCTTTGCATCTCAAACTGTGAAATTCCCATGCATGCCTCCCAAAACCCACAGCCTTAAGCAAAGTCTCTTGGCTCGCCAAACATCCCCTCCCCGAGAGCCGAACACCTTTTGATGATATGGGGGCAAATTGGGGAAACATGCATTTAATGACATCGGGCATCTTATTATGACGCTGACTCAAAGGAAAACTCATACCTCTGACTTGAGGTGCACCCTAAACCCTCCATTTGTATTTCGTTTAGGGCAGGCCTTCACCGGCATTTTCACCCTCCGCAAGATCGAGGCCATAGGCAGACGTAGGATTTCAGGGATTTGGGTGGTAGGATTTGCTTCTCGTAGGGGCTTGGGGTTAGGCTTGCTGGGCTTTCAGGATGTTGGAGTTCAGGGCTTTCGGGCATTTTTGGGCTGAAGGGTTTGAGGACTCAGGCTCAGGGCTTTCTAATGAGGCTTCAAAAGGGCCTTGGGCATGGATGTGCCGTTTTCTTCCGAGCCAATCGAAGCGGAAATGGCCGTCGCCGATGATTAGGGCACCTGCCGCCTAAACTCTGAACGGTCATGACACACAACAGCGTCAACATCCTTTTGCTTAAAGATGCATGAGAGCAGTTGTGCTGGCACGATGAGGCTATGGCCACTGGGCAAGGCCGAAGTCCACGACCACCACATGTAGGTCCTCGACTAAAAAAAGGGTACGTTGCATAGTGTGTTTTCAGTTTCGGGTTTCGGGTTGGCAGTTGTTGTTTAGGCTTTTCTTTCCTGCGGTCCTGGAAATCTTGGGGCTAACTGTTTTCAAGTCACGCTCACAGTTGTAATCTCTTGCTTTCCTTCATTGTATTTTGGAGGGGGTTTAAGGCTTCCAGGTTTCGAGTTTGTGGGCTTCGGGGTTCGAAGTGCCCTTGTCGAGGGCTTTAGGGGGTCGGCAGAGACAAGAGGTTAAAGTCCAAGGAGATGTTCTCAGAAGGCACGAAAACGGTCTGAACTGCTGCTTCAGAATACGCACACTGAAACCACGTAATAGGTAATAGCGATCCAAGATGATCAAAGACAAGCAACAACCCCTTGACCCCACAAGCACTCCAAACGCATCAATACCCGCGGCCTCCAGTGGAGCTTTCCGGGGGCTGGCCATCATGACATTCTCGGGCTTGAGGTCCTTGTGCATGACACCTGCGTTGGGTTTAGGATGCACTGTAGCGGGTGTTGGGGATCCTTTGCACGTGATGTGAGCCAGGGTTTACGAGGGCTCATGGAAAAGTCCGAAAGACAGGATGTGAGGAAGCCTTGGAGCCGGAATGAACACCCACCCGAGAGCAGAGAGCCCCAGCACAGGATGCGGCTGTCAAAGACTTACTGATGTGTTCTGACAAGGTGAAATCAGCATTGAAACTCGTCAGTGGATTTATACTAGTCGGTTTAGGAGTTTAGGGTTGAAGCACACATAATTTTCTATCATCGAAGCCAGGTTTGAAAACGCTGAAGCCGCAGGGCACCCAGGCAGTGCCCGCGGAGCTTTGCTTTGCAAACTGCTTTCGGAGTGGCGTCTCGGTTTCGTGGGGGTTTTCAACTAAGACTAACAGGCTCCGCACCGAATTGCTTAGGGCTCTTGTAACGGTTCAAGATTGGTTGGAGTTCAGAACTCTGGAGCTCGAGGAAAGTGTTCACTTGTCAGGAGCTGCAGCTCCTGACAGGCATGTCGCTTCAAGGGTCGAGGTGCTTTGAGTTTGTCGTTCGGGCCTCTGCAGCTACTGCTTTCTGGTGGACTGCCATCCGAACCTAATGCCAAAGGTTGCGCACACTCTGCTGCAAGGCTGCTGCTTGCAAAAAAGGGAGTGTGCGCCCTGTACAGTGCAACCTGCGCGGCTGCCATAAGTGCAAGGGCTCAGACTACCAAAGCCTTGCAGAACGGGCCTTGGAGCGGAAGGGAACCGGTAACCGACGAGACTGTGTGGTAGGGGTCCAGGGCTATTTCAGGTGATGAAGACGATCATGTTACAAGACTTCGTCCTGTGCATACCGCACCAATCAGATCCGATTGGGCGCAATGCAAAGCCTAGCCTACGACTCACCATTCCGTGCACTCCACACTACACCCCTGCAGTGACCCCTGGCAGGGGCCAAGGGACCTCACACCACCAAGCTTGGAGGCATAGTAGTGGCTGGGCCCATGCAGGCCTGTGCGCTATCTGCAACGAGGAACTAGATCTCGTAGAGAAACATTCAGGTTTTGGGACAGCCCCAAAGCGACGAACACCAAACGAACTGGAAAGGTTGGGGGATCGCAACAGACTCGGCGTCCAGGGAATCGTATCCAACCTTGTTAGAACCGCCAAAAGGGGAATGCCCTAAAAAAGGCTCAACAGCGTAGCTGTTGTGCTCCTGCCGGTGAGAGAACATCGAGAATTAAATGAACAGTAGCGATTCTGGCGATTCTTGATATTCGATGATGGACTGTATACTCGATGCATAAACAAACAAATAACATATATATATATATATATATATATATATATGTACATGCATATACCGACATATTATGCACAAGTATTTCTGCGATATTTTTATACCCCACACACCCTGTTCTAATCTTACACGCCCCCCTTACGCTATTATGTTACGGTTAGGAGAGAAAGGAGACCTGTTGAACAAATTCTGAAAAACGACGGTAAAGCGGCTCTTGGAGCGAGCCCAAACGGCACTACACGCTGTGCGTCTTCCTAGTCTGCTTATGGTAAACACTGCCTACGACATTCTAATTATCATGATTCCACATCCTCAAACACTAAACTCCAAACAGCCTCAACCCTCAACCCAAGCCCTAGGCCCTAAACCCTGAGCGGGCCTGTTGGAAGGTCATGAAGTGCTTGGGAAGATGATCCAAGGCCTTTCGCATGTCCGGATCCTTCATGCCACTGATCAGCTCGCGCATGAACTCCAGAGTCCTTAAGATTCAGGGATTAAGATTTAAGGTTCAGAGTTTCGGTCGGGTCGAAAGACTAGGATGTAGAGTTTAAAGCTCAGGGTCGAAGGTCGAGAGTTCCCTAGTGCTTTTTTTTGTTTCGGTTTGGGGGGTTGTTCAGACCAGTTAGGGTCCGTGGAAACGAAGCTCACATTCGTATGCAGCAGACTTCAGATCCCCACCCTGAGCCCTGGCCCTAAACCTTCCATCTCCAAACCGGGACACCCAGAACCCTGCAATCCCAGAGCAACACCGTTCCAAAACCCCCAGCGAAAACCCTAAAGCCCCCGGCGCAAACCCCCGTACCTTCCAAGGCGCATTGTCGTGACTGCCTGCGTCTGACGCTCGAGAAACGAGGAGCAGCCCGGGTGCAGCGACCGCGCCTCCGCTGTCGGCATCGCTTAGACAAGGCTTTAGAGTTTCGGGTTTAACGCTTAGGATAGGATAGAAACCAGGCTTTGGAGTTTAGGGTTTAGGGTTTAGGATATAGGATAGGCCGGGAACCTCTCCTTGCATAGTCCTTGGACGTTGCAATGCCTGAAATTGGGTCGAGCCGCACCCCAAAATCTCAAAACTCAAGCAAGGTTCCCTTAACAATGATGCCTTAGACCCCTAATCTCTAGACCCTAGATTCCCTAGATTAGATCCTGAATAAACTTGACTCAACGCTGAGTCCCATAACATCCAGATCCTGGACCATAAAAGCCTAAAGACTCAACCCTCAGCCTCTTGAAGCCCTGAACCCTACCATACCCAAAGGGAACCATCAACCAAATATCTGAAGCCTCAACGCTGCTGTTACCCCCTGATCTTTAGACCCTCTTATAGCGACTAACCGAAAGGGAGCTTATGACGACACTAATCCCCAAAATCCTATACCAGGAACTCGCACCCCCAAACCTGCTGAAACCGAAATACGAAGCAGGGAGCTTTTCAACCCCAACTTGCATTCCCACTATCCAAAGAGAACACAATGACACGGCAGGAGTTTCAGAACAAAACTTAAGTTATCAATCCAAATCGATCCCAAAGGCTCTTTGAAAGCACCTTTTCTTTCAAAAAACCCAGAAGTTTGAAGTTTGGGCATTCGGGAAGCTGAGCTGATCAGCGCCTCGCTCCACTCCGCCACGCACTCTGCTGAGCAGGTCCTGCGCAGTCCAAGTCTCGAAGGGGGTTGGGGTTGACAGGTTAGGGCCCAGGGTTTCGGGTGTGGGGTGACCGTTTAGGGCTTAGGGTTGAGGAGTGAATGTAAGGTTTCGGTTTGCTTGCGGGTGTTTTGAGTTTCTAGGGTTAAGGGCTCAGGGTGTAAAGGTCCAGAGTTGAAAGGGGGTTGTTACAAAGGAACTGCGTGACATTGCGTGACGACACCATAAAAAAGGCTTCCTTATCATGGTGACCCACACCATCCAGCCTCCCCACTCTAAACAAGCACCCAACAGAGACGAAGGGTCAAGTTTAGAGTACAGTAATGAAGCGGCTGCGTCAGGTCCGGGATTGGAGGGCTTCGGGTTCGGGATTTAGACTTGAAGGCTTAGGGTCTGTGGGGCCTGGAGTTGAGGGCTTAGGGTTTAAGGTTGCTAGGTTTCCGAAGTCTTGCCCCCTCCTGCCCCCGAATCCGTGAACCGGAAGCAGCTTATCAACATCAGCCACTAACACTAAGCAACCCGTACCATAACACACCCCAAAACAGAAACCTAGACTCAGACCCTAAGCTTGAAACCGGCAACTCGACTGGAACCCTAAGCTGCTGGGCTGGGGCTGGGGCATGGTTGTCGCTATAGTATACAGACACAGTTCCAACATAATTCCCCACGCCTCTCGTCCAGCACCGGAGTCATGAAGCGAATGTAGCACTCCGGACTCTGCAGAAGGAGGGTGTTCCTCTCCTGCTTCGATTGGCGGTGTTCATTTGGCGTGTGGGTATTGGGGTGTAAGTAAACGCTTCAGCCTCATGGGTTTAGGGCTGAGGGTTTCTGGTGTAAGAGCGCGGGCTTGTGAAGGGCCTAAGAAGTCAAGAGTTTGGGCCTTGGGTGTGAGGACTTCAGTTTCTGGCCTTGCTGCACCGAAACCCGTCTGTGTATGTTTGTGGCGGCTCGTATAATTTTCTAGCAGCATGACAGGCATGAGTCCCTGAACATGTTCATGAGTGCAGGGCCAGCAGCTACCCCAGGATTCCAAGCATTGCTCTTTGCGCAACCGCTGTTGCTCTTGGCTGACCGTACCAAGGCCCAAACCTACTTTTCATAGGAGGGCTGGGGCTGAGGCTGAGAAACCCCAAATTGGAAACAGACGCCCCAAGACCCCAATCCAATCCAATTCCAAAGACCGAGAAAAAGAGCCCTAAACCCCACGCAAAGGCCAGAAACCCCAAAGCTCTAAAGACTTTGAAACCCCCAAGCCCCCAAAGCTGGAGGCCTCGGCGCAGAAGTAGTCGGACATGGAGGATTTGCTGCAGATCATGGCTTGCTCGATGCGCATGCTCCGCAACATAAACGCCTCCTGCGAGGCGAATTTTGGCCTGGTTTGGGCTGTCGGGTCGCGAGTGTAAGCTGTAGTGTTTAGGATGTAGAGTGTAGGCTAGGGTCAGGAGCTTCGGGTTTAGGGTTTAGGGTCATGGGTATGGGGTTGAAGCTCACTTCGTTTTGGGGCTTAGGATTTGCTCCAGGACTAGGGTGCAAGCTGGGTTTCAGAATATTCGTTGTCAGGTGCAGCGTGTCGGCGATACTTGTGCTCGCGATACTTGTACTGAAGAGGTGTTGTGTAAAGTAGCATAGCAAAGGGTTCGTTGGTTGGGAGTTTAGGCTTCCCTCATATTCGGCCATAAAATGAAACCTATCGCTATATACTACATAGCCATGCGCCTGCAAGCCCTCAAGAATATGTACGCGTGCATGCACTGACACAAACATACACACATACACAATCTGAAGTGCACATGTAGAGTTTCATATGTTATACGAGTATGAACATAGATATAAAATATGTGTGTGTATGCATGTACGTACGTATGTATGCATGTATGCAGCATGTATGTATACATAAACACACACACACACACATACATGCACAGACACACATGCACGCACATGTACATGTACAGGCCCGTATGAAAGCACTGTCTTAAACAAACAAGCCAGGAGAGGAAACAAGCAGCCAGCAACCCTAGACCCTAATACGGAACTGATACCCAGGACCCTAAACCATATACCCTCAAGCCCAAGCGGGACCATCGTCTTCTTGCAGTGGTCGTAGGGGATCTCCTTCGACAGGGCCGCGGCGCAAATCGCCGAGGAGTAGCCTCCAAAACTGGCAATGAGCTGGGTGCGTGCAAAGTTTCCCGAGGAGTATCGATGTAAAGGGTGTCGCATAGCTTCTGAACCCCAGCTATCCCAGACCTCCAAGGGTTCAGTGTCGACTGTTCGCATGAGTTCTACATCCAGCCGCGCAAACCTCTGCTCCTGGGCACCGTGAACTCTAGATTTACTCAGCAGCACCACATCCTCAGAGAGGCCCAATGTGGCCAACCCCAAGGCAGGAATAGTCAACATGAAGCTTTATCCCTGAATCAAGAAGTCTGCAAAACCATAACCGTACATCCTGTTCTGTACACTGTCACCGAACCCTCAAACCCAAAAGAAGGGCTAGACCCACAGCTGAGGCACACTTTGCATACGACGTATCGAAGCTTTCCAACCCGTTGAGGCAGTCACCATCGCAGAACTCCTCTTCATAGGCCCAGAAGAACACGTCCATGAGGCATTTGGGTTGAAGGTAAGCTAAAGAATCACAGAAAAGAGGCTTCTGGAATCACTCATATGGGAGACCTGTACATCTTGAGCTAAAGGATCCTGCTTTCTGTTTATCTGATTTTGAGGGGGTCCGTCAGTCAGGAAGATGCAGTGCACAGGGTTCACGGCCTCGGATGTTGGGACTGGCGAGCCAGCACTATCACGAGCCGTCGTGGTGGTAGTCGTCGTCGCGACAGATACATTACTCGCTACCATGATAACTATCACCGCCGCCACCAGCACGAGCACCAGCACCACATACTACATACCTTAGCCGAAACATCGTCGTCACCGTCAATGTCGCCTTCGTTCTCGCCAATAACAGCATGACTACACCCACTACTACCACCAGCGACAATGATACGTTTATCACAGTCCTTTCACTAAAAGAACACATGCTTCCCTGGCTTACGATTTAGGACGTGTGTGGCAAGCGGATCAGAAGCTGCAAACCACAAATCCGACCCAATACCCTGCCTGAACCCCAAACCCTGAACACCGCAACACCTCCCCCTAAACCCTAACCCCCTAAACCCTAAACCCCTAAACCCTAAACCCTAAACCCCTAAACCCCTAAACCCTAAACCCTAAACCTCGTAACCCACTCCTTGAGAGAGCGGTGGGTCCAGCTCTGCACCATCCTCACGTTCGCAGACATGATGGTGTGCCTACCAGAAGCCTTGAGTATTGGGCTTAGGATTGAAAGGTCCATTTTTGGGCTTAGGAATCCGGGGTTTAGAGTTTAGGGTTGATCTTGTAAACAAGGCCAACGACAACAAGCGTTTTGAGGACGTTAAACCCAGCACCCCCTACCAACTTCTCGAAATTGAAGGCCCAAGGTCCGAAACCCTCTGGGCCATAGAGTCCCAGCAGTCCGACTCGAGTCTTTTTGAGAGGGGTGGGGGGCAGGTGTTGTTGGTTCGAGGCACTGGAGCTTCCTGCTGTCCTTTCTCAAAAGACAGGAAAGCCATCTTCGTTATTGTCACCATTGTTACTGTTCTGGTGTAGCAATTCCCTTTTACCGTGCGTATTGCTACTCTGACCATTTTGGATGGCCTGCGCGACACAACAAACCAGTGCATGTAACGCTGAGATACAACGTGCTTTAAAAGTTGTATACCCGAAGCCACGTGTGTACGCATGAATGCGCGGGTGCATGCATGCGACCAATTATTGTATGCAACACGCATTCAACTTAGCTTCTCATGCAGCGTGCTTGCATGGCGTATTTTATAGACTATTATAGACCATATATAGACCGTACACAGTAGCACCGAACCCTAAGCCGTACACCCCTAGCAGGACCCCCCAAGTGCCTTTCAATAGAGCCCGTATCGTCCTTAATCGTGGGCATTTAGGGTATATTAGAAAGTACTTGCGGGGTCTGGGCATAAGATTGAAAGGGTGGATCTGATTGCGGCCCGAGGCGCTTGATCGCATGGTCCTTGTAAAACTTGGCCAGGGAAGAGTTGACGAACTCCTGCCCAGGTCGTGTGCGATCCGCAATTGCAGGGCGGGAGTTTCAAGAAGTTTTTTGAAGTAGGTTTGAAGGCTTTGGCTACGACTTGTAAGGCGGTTTCAGGGATCGGAGCTTGGGGTTGGGAGGTTAGGAGCCACAAAATCCCCAGACCCTGTCTGAAACCCAAACTCCTAAAAACCTGAACCCGTAACACTGCGATCCCTGACACAGAGAATTCCTATGCCTACATCTACAACGCCTTTCGAATTTGGGCCCCACCGAATCCGAGAAGCCAGGCCGAATCAAATCTGTTTCAGAGTGGTTTGACGGCTCTAAAGTTTTGGGGGCTAAACCCTAAACCCTAAACTGGTGCTGGCTTAGTGTTTCCGGCTTTGACGCATTCGGCTGTGACCTTGGGGCTGAAGAGGATACAAATCCTGTCCGGCATAAGCCGGGAGTATACGTCCAGAAGCAACTACAAGCCACACACAGGCTACAAGACATCTTGCCCCAAGTCAGAACTGAGGGGGTTCTCGTTTGAAGACCAACAGCAATCGAAGACGTATGCGATGGCCAGGAGGAGACAGTCACTTCCCACAAGTATGCACGAGCATGAGCGATGGAGACGAAGAGATAGACAAACGCAGGGGCGCAGACAGCGTGAGACAGATCGAGATCGAGGACGTCGGAACAAACTCTGCTGCCACCAAGGTCTCTCACAAGACAAACTCAATTTCAATCGTTGTATTGCAAGACCCAGAGTACCCAAACGCCGAGGTCTTCCGAAGCTTGGCCGCCCCATATTCAGGTGGACATTGGTCTTCAAACCAAACACACTTCAAGGGAACCCCAGTTTAGGCCCGCATGCGCTCAACGTGGTGTGTCCTGGGCCATGGGGGCCTGCATGTGTTCCAAGCCCTGCAGCACAGGGTGAAGGCAACGGCTTGAAGATTAGGTTCTTGAGTTCGGTCTGGGTTTAACCATGATGGTTGCGGCTGGGCGCTTTCGGTTTAGGGAACAGGTGCTGATGATGATTCTCTGTGTCTCCGCAATGCGGGAACCTTGGAGCTCTTGTGTGCATGCATGGGAAGGGGTCGTGTCGTGCTGTCTTTGCTGCAACGTCGGGAAACCTATTTAAAACCTGAGACATCTTCACCGCGGAAACCCAAACGTTCGCCGGGAACAATCCCTTTGGGGCCTGAAGTTGCGCTCTCAAGCCCTTTGAGGCCGAACCGTAGAACCCGGCACAACCAAGGACAAGGCGGACGTAAACCCTGCATGATCGTGAAGCCCCAAAAGCCGCCACCAAAACGATCCCAAACGACTCGAGCCTCCAGCACGGCCCAAGCTGCCAATCCCGCCATGCCTCGCCGATAGCTTTGGGATGTTTTGGGGCTCGTTCATTTTAGGAGGCCTAGGCTTTTTTTGTTGAGCCCCTTTTGCGTGTCCTCGTAGCTTGTCATCAAGAACATCCACGAAGTCCTGTAGGCCAGGAAAGACCAAGGACCGGATTGGATTCCTCCTTCTTCCGAGGGCGCGCGCGCGGTCCTTCTTGCGCATGTTAGCTTTTCCTTGGGCCTGTCATGATCAACGGCTTCAACAACGAGCAGAGATGCAGCGCTTTCCTCGCTTCTTTGTCATCCTCCTTCTCCTTAGGGCTCACTCGCTTGTTCTTGAGGCGCGTTCTTTCATCGACGCCGCTCGACCTCGTGCAAGGCTGAGCGCGCAAATTCCGGTGTCGTTTCCAGCTGCCGATAGCGCTGGAGGTGCTGTCGATACTTCCAGCGGAATTCAACACCCCTTTTTACTTTCGACTCCTAGACTCTCAAAAGCCTAAGGCCCTTCTCGACCCTAAATGCCAACCGATGAGTATAACCCCTCAGACCCGAAGTAAACATGATATTATACTATTTGCTATTCTGGATTGGGTTTACATAATCCAAGTATATATAATTGCACGACTGAATGTGAAAATGATTCGCAAGACCTACCGAGACCCCAGCTCTCAACCCTAAACGCCCAAGCCTCAACTCCTAAAACATTCCCAAACCTCTATAAAGGTCCAAGACAAACCCTGAAGCTTCACCACCCCTCTCGGACCTTCCGGATCGAACTTGGTTGTCTGGCACTTCTCGGAGAGGCTCTTGACCATGGACATCGCTTCGACGCAGTGCCCCGCCGTGTCGGCCAGCTCGGGTCCGTTCCTCGGCTTTGGGCTTTTCGGCTTCAGGGGCTGCCTTCAGTGTCCAATTGGCTTTCGGGTCCTAGCGTGGGGGGGACTTGGGGGAGGGGAGGGCTTCGGCATGTGGGTGTTTATGTTGCTGCAATGATCAATGCACACCCCAGGCCCCAAAGGTCCTAAACACTCTAATCTACTTGTCCTGGACCTCTAAAATTCGAATCCTGTCATGGTGACCAGGGCTTCTCGCGTCTCAGGCCCTTCTGCTGGCAAGCCCTGGGACTTCAAGGCCTTAAACACATAATCCTCCAAATTTCTAACCCTGAGCGTATCAAAGCCTTATTATTATACGCTCTTTGACCCAGTCCGTGGGTTCACGCGTACGGCTGGAGCCAATCGAATCCCACCGTTTAGGATACGTAGGGTTTGGAACAGTTTGCAGGGCTCTTGGGGCTTAGGGGCAATTTTTGCAAGGGCTGCCTTACTGGAGCCCTTGAAAGAGCCTCCCGGCCCATACGCTAAGACCTTAGAGCTCGTTTCGGCTTTGGGGCGTTTTGCGGTAAGGGGTGTCGCAGTCTCTGCGTATTGAGGACCAGGGATATCGAGGTTCAAGAGAATGAAGGGAGAAAGCCCGAAACATCGTCCTAACGAAAGCTTTCGGGTTCCGGGCACGTCGGACCTTCGGACTTTTAAGAGCTCCTTTTCCCTGAACCACGTAGCCCGGCTCGCCGGGCGACTTCTCCAGCCAGTGGATCAGGCCCTCGACTCCAGTCTCGGCCTGCGGAGAAAGAGGGGCCTAAATGCAGGAAGGGGCTCCTCTCAGAGAAGTGGAGCCTTCGGTTTTAGGGATTTTAAGGTTTGCGGCAGTCGATCCGCGAAAACCTGCGTCCCTGAAGGGTTCAGGTAGCAGTTGACACCGATGGAAAAGGCAGGGGTGGAGCATGAGGATCTGGTTGGTTCGTATATAGTTTCAGCCCCTGGCCTCGTATCTCAAACCCCAGGTCCTAGGCCCTATAAGCGTATAAACCATAAGGTCAACCCTTGACCCTGACAGGAACACTAACTGGTGCCAGTGAACATCGCAGAGAGCCAAAATGCAGCCCTCGAAGCCCGACCCGTCTTCGAACGGCCAGACTTTTGACATAGCGGCTTGAATAATTCGAAACAATTCCTCAGGTTCCTCGTTCCTAGTATTATACTTTAGGAAATCACTGTTTCAGCATCAGCTGGAAGGTTCAAGGACTGTCGCATTTCTTGTCCTATCTTGCTTGAGGGCTCCGTTCTGGATCTGTCTTTCTTGTTTTGAAGCTTGTCTCTCTCTCTGGGTTCGGTTTTCAGCAGCTCGGGTTTGAGGCTTGTAATCAACATTCATCTGCGATCTGTCCTGAGCCACCCCGAGGCACAGCAGCAGGCCGGCAGCAATGCGTGCAGGCATGGCGGGAAAACAGGCGGGGGCGGGGGATTGCGGAGCGTGTGGCTGATGAGGCGGCGGAAGCTGCGGCAGAAAGGACTTCTGGCCCACACCCTGACAGCCCTGTTGCTGATACTGTTTAGGTACTAACACATCCCAGCAGTCCTAGCAGAACATGTGCAAGGCGCCGTGTCGAGGTTCGGGAGCTGGATGCGAAGTGTTGGGGACAGGCATTTTGAACCTTACTGCCACGTGGGTAGTTTTCTTAAGCAGACTCCAGAAGAGAGGCGCAAGGTTTATTTCAGGGAACCCGAAACTGCCCTCAAGGAGTTCTAGAGCTCCGCCCATATCTTCTGTGCTTTTGTCCCCCTAGCCGTGCCGCCGTCGTCGGGCCTCTAAGAGGCCAGAGAATTCCACTGGCCACTCCTTCGGACTCTAAGCTTACAAGTGGCGATAGGGTTTCTGACTCTTCATTACCTAGAGAGCTCAGGGCTGACGCGGAGTTTTACAGAGCGGTTTAGAGAGGTTTTAGGGTCTGGGGATTCCAGGTTTCGGATGCATTGCTGGCAGCGAAAGTTGAACAGCAATTACGCACTTTCGGCAACACTGTGCTTGGAGTCCGAGGGTTTCATGTATTGAAGCGATGTCAATGTCGCGCTGACAAGCGGGTTCTCAAACCAAACACCTCTGCAGAAGCCATCATATAATTCCGATGTGAAGGCTCTTTCAGGCTTGAAGGCTCAGGGAAACCTACCAATCCAAGCCCAAGGCTTGTATTCCCCATATTCTGAAATCATGTCCTAGGCCCCTCCGCGGAAAATCCCGGCCAACCGGGGCCGGACGAGCCAAACCTGAAGTTTGGCTAGGGTTGACTTTCGGGGGTTTGGGGCTAGAAACCTTAGGCCACTTCCGTCAGGTGAGGCGGAAGTTCGCCGTGAATTCGCCGATGTCCTGGAGGTTGTCTTCGGGACTTTAGGAGGTTCAAGGGGGTAGCTGGAGTTTCAGGATCTTTTTAATGGGTGTCGGGGAGGCTTTGACTACACAAGAGGTAGTCCGAAAAAGCGGCACAAGAAAGCTCTTGCGGCTTCGGGCCTCTGGCTAGGCTTCAGAGCTTGGAGCAGTCCTAAACCCCAAAAACCCTTGGTCCCCACACCCATGCAGAAGTGCTTTACTTTCTGTTGCAACCTTCTTACTGAGAAGCAAACTTTGAACCCCAAGCCCCTGTTCTGAGTTCTGGGGCCCAAACTCATGTCAATATGGGGGTTTCCGAAAATAGGGGACCCTAATATAGTACCCTAAGTAGTAGGATCCTTATTATGGGGACCCCTAAATAAGGTACCCCGATTTTCGGAAACTCCCATATGGCCTTTGTTGCAGGAAGCGATTCGGGCCTCCATCTTGCGCAGGTTTTTGTGGCTAGGAAGGGTCGGTCCTTGATGGAGTGCCGCGCGACTTCCTTGATCCCTGCGTTGTTGCAGGTCCTCGGACGGCTTGACGAAAGGAAGATTCAGGGTTGAGTGGTTCAAGGTTCAGGGTTTGGTAGTTTCCGGATCTTGCCACATCACTATTACAAGTAGCCCGAAGCCGGCGGGCTTGGGAAACTAGCATAAAGGCTCAGGAGAGCTGGTAAATTAGGTCATAGTAGGGCTGATCGCAAACCTAATTTGAGCTACTGCCCTAAAAACCATGCTCAGGCCCTCCTTACCAGGTTTCCTGCCCCTTCATGTGAAAGGTTGAAGGTCCGAACCTGCCCACAATCCCAAACCCACAACTCCTCGGTCCTCGACCCGGCCAAGCACTGAACCCTTTAACCCCAAAGCCCTCAACATGCAGAAACCCTAAACCCTAAACCCCAAACCCTAAACCCCAAAGCCTGAACCCTAAGCAGAAAAAGAAAGCCCGAGCACCTGCAGTGTCTGAGGCGCCCGCCGGTGAAGCTCCTCCACCACGGTCAGCAGCAGCTCCTCACAACAAGTTGGCGTCGACCAAATCTCGGGGCCTTAAGAGTTTTTAGTAGGGTAGACGGGGATCATGTATTGAAAACCCCAAATCCCAAAACCCTGACGCGAGATCTTAAGCACTGTCAAAAATTTTTTTCGACCTCCGTTTTGCCTGCTTCAAAGGCCCACTGTGGCAGGTACCGACTTGGAACCCGGAAGACAGCAGCCGCTCCGAAGGGTAATCTACATAGTGGGCCTGCATTGAGGCTCGATGCTAGTCTGAATGCAATTTCCGGCATCACTTCGGGATAATGGACGCCTGATGGTGTATTCTTGGGGATTGTGGAAGCCTCTTCATGGACATGGCCCAGCACTCTGAACGAAGCCTCGAAGCACAAACTGCACGCGAGAACGCGCATCCAAAAGTTTGCTTTACACCGCTAAACATGGACACCCAAAAAAACAAATCAACCAACGTTCCATCTCAACCCTAAACAACCCCTACTAAACCCAAAACTTGCAGATTAAAGTCCCAACCAAAAAGCGTTCACTATAAACTTTGCAGCCTCAAAGCCCTAAATCCCAAACCCCAGATGTGGGTGGCGATTTCAACAACCCAAACTTTCATTTCTCTTTTAGGGTGTGGTGGCCTGTGCTCCCGCAATTAGTTTGGGTTTGGATTTAGAGTTTAGGGTTTCCGGAACTTAATTAACTTAGCTACAGCCAGGGTGTTGCGCAAAACTAGTAAGGAGTTTCAAACCTATGCCACGTCGGTTTGTGCCTAGAGGTACCCCCATATCTCCGAACACAAAATCCACAGACTTGGAGGGTTTCGGGCAAGCTAGGGTTTATATATATATATATATATATATATATATGCTTACGCCCCCCCCCCCATGATCCATACTATGCTTGCTTTTGGTAAGCAGTGGATCATGGGAGGTGGGCAGCTTCGGATGCTGAAACACTGCCAGGCTCGAAAATCACCAAAATTCCTGAAGCCTGACGTGCGAAAACACTGGCAGGGATCAAAAATCCCCAATCCCCAAAATGTGAGAGACTATGGCCCCGCACTCCGCATAGTTGCCAGGATTTTTGGGAATTTTGGGGATTTTTGATACCTGCCAGTGTTTTCGCATTTCAGGCTTTACAAATTTTGGGGATTTTCGAGCCTGGCGGCATTTCGTCAACGTCGGATGCTAAAACACTGCCAGGCTCGAAAATCCCCAAAATTCCTGAAGCCTGAAGTGCGAAAACACTGGCAGGGATCAAAAATCCCCAAAATCCCCAAAATGTGAGAGACTATGGCCCCGCACTCCGCATAGTTGCCAGGATTTTGGGAATTTTGGGGATTTTTGATCCCTGCCAGTGCTTTTCGCATTTCAGGCTTTACAAATTTTGGGGATTTTCGAGCCTGGCGGCATTTCGTCAACGTCGGATGCTAAAACATTGCCAGGCTCGAAAATCCCCAAAGTTTTGCAAAACTAAACACCCATGGCCCCATAGATGCCACGATTTTGGGAATTTTGGGGATTTTTGATCCCTGCCGATGTTTTCGCATTTCAGGCTTTACAAATTTTGGGGATTTTCGAGCCAGGCGGCATTTGCTAACCTTGGATGCTGTGTTC